GCGGCGCGGAGGTGCGCGACGAGGTTCTTAATTAGGTTCTTAATTGGGTTCTTAATTGGGTTCTTAATTGGGTTCTTAATTTCAGCGCGGAGGGACGGCGGCGCGGAACGGGTGCGCGGCGCGGAGGTGCACGGGAGGATGGTGCATGGATGGTGCACGGATTTCTCGGTGCGCGACGGGTGTGCGGCGGGTGCGCGGCGGGTGCGGTGCTGAATTAGGTGGTGAGTGCAGAAAAGCACGCTCTCTCATTGGGAGTATTCCCCACCCCACGCTCCGTTGCAGTTGAGAGGATCGTGATTCTAAAATTCTCCGTGTGCCGCGGAGGCCTTATCGGCTCTAAACTGCAACGGAGTGCAGTTTCGACCCTCAACGGAGCACTGCTCCTGGCGATTTCACGGCCCGAAAACTGCGAGGAGGAGGAAGTCGAAGAGTGCAGGCCTGTGGACAGAGCGGAGCGAACTGCTCACGGAGCGGAGCGAACTGCCAACTCCGCGCGAGGAACGAGCCTGGCGGAGTTGGCAGTTCGCGGAGCGAGTGAGCAGTTCGCGGGAGCGACGTCCACAGGCCTGCACTCTTCGACTTCCGAGTACGAGCAGTTTTCGGGCCGTGAAATCGCCAGGAGCAGTGCTCCGTTGAGGGTCGAAACTGCACTCCGTTGCAGTTTAGAGCCGATAAGGCCTCCGCGGCACACGGAGAATTTTAGAATCACGATCCTCTCAACTGCAACGGAGCGTGGGGTGGGGAATACTCCCAATGAGAGAGCCGATTGTCAACCCAACTCGCGCCGCGGAATTGTCAACCCGATTGTCAACCCGATTGTCAACCTTACCGCGCCGCGGAATTGTCAACCTAGATGTCATCCCAGATGTCAACCCAACTCGCGCCGCGATTATGTCAACCCAGATGTCAACCCAGATGCCCTACTCGCGCCCTCTCGTCGTATCCCGCACCTATCCTGCACCCAGACCCCGCTTGTTGCTCACCCTTGCTGGTCGCCCCGTTGAAATCGAGTCGTCGTCGGCGCCGTCGTCGCTCGCCGTCGTCGCTCGCCACGTCGTCGCCGCCGTCGCCGTCAAGTCGTCTCCGTCGCCGTCGAGTCGTCGTCGTCGCCGTGTCGTCGCCGCGTCGTCGCCGCGTCGTCGCCGCCGTCGCCGTCGAGTTCGTCGCCGCGTCGCCGTCGAGTCGTCGTCGTCGCCGCGTCGTCGTCGCCGCGAGTTGCGGTCGTGCCCGATTGTGAACCCAACTCGTGCCGCGAAAATGTCAACCTAGATGTCAACCTGGATGTCAACCTAGATGTCAACCCTACTCGCGCCCTCTAGTCGTATCAGTGTCGTATCCTGCACCTATCTGCACCAGACCCCGCTTGTTGCTCACCCTTGCTGGTTGCCGCCGTCGCCGTCGAGTCGTCGTCGTCGCCGCGTCGTCGTCGCCGCGTCGTCGTCGCTGCGTGGTCCTCGCCTGCTCTTTGCTGGTCGCCAGTTTCAGGGCTGTGCGGGTTATCGCTGTGAGTTGGGATTGCCTGCTTGTGGTTCACCCTTGCTGGTCGCCGCCGCCGTCGTCGAGTCGTCGTCGTCGCGTCGTCGTCGTCGAGTCGTCGTCCCCGTTCGTCACCGCCGTGGTCCGCTGCGAACACGTCGCGTCATCGCCGCGTGTTCGTCGCCGTCTCGTCGTCCAGCCTAAGGTCCGCTGCGAGCTCTGGTCGTTGCGTCGTCGTCGCCTCGTCGTCCTCTATACCGCCATTCTCACCCATCCTTTCGGGTCAGAAGTAGACCAGTGAGACCCTCAAAACTGCAGCCACTGCAGGCCTGGGGGGCGACTGTGAGGCGCCTAGGGCTGCAGCGACTGTGAAGGCTGCGGCGACTGTGAGGGCACCTGGGGGCTGCAGCGACTGTGAAGGCACCCGTCGTTGCCGCCTCGTCGTCGTCGCGTCGTCGTCGCGTCGTTGTTGCCACGTCGTCGTTCGTCACGTCTTTGCGCCGATCATGCACCTAACATGCACCCCGCGTCGTCGTGCACGCGTCGCCCCCGATCCTCACCCCGGTCTCACCACCTGTGCTTCGTCGCGCCGTCGTGTCATCCCTCCCCCGCCTCGTTCGGAAAGCAGGGTGAGGATCGGAGTGAAGATCGGAAAGAGGATCGGAGTGAGAATCGCTGGTGGGGGGCTGGGGGAGCAGCGACTGTGAGGGCATCTGGGGCTGCGGACTGCGAGGGGGCACTTGGGGACGGCGACTGTGAGCCCGTCCTCTGTGCCGCTGCCCGTTCTCTTGGGTCAGGAGTAAAAGCCTGTGGGGCTGCAGGGACTGTGGGCTGCAGCGACTGTGAGGGCCTGGGGCTGCAGTGACTGTGAGGGCATCTGGGGCTGCGGCGACTGTGAGGGCACCCGTCGTCGCCGCCTCGTCGTCGTCGCGTCGTCGCCGCCGCGTCGGCGTCGCGTCGTCGTCGTCGTCGTGCACGCGTGTTCGTCCCCCCGGTAAACCCTCGCTCGCTGAACCCACCGTCGCGTCGTCGCCGCCGCGCCGTCGTCGCGTCGTCGTCGTGCACGCGTGTTCGTCGCCCCCTCCCCCGATGAACCTTCGGTCGGTGAACCCACCGTCGCGTCGTCGCCGCCGTGTCGTCGTCGCGTCGTCGCCGCCGCGTCGTCGTCGTCCCGTCGTCGTCGCCTCGTCGTCCTCTATTGCTTTCAGTCGTCGCGGCGTCGGCACAACAATCGGCAGAACACTCGGCAGAACACTTGGCAGAACACTTAAGCAGAACATTTGGCAGAACATTTAGGCAGAGCATTTTGGCCGAACAGGACCGGTACAACAACGGGCCCAACTGTGAGGGGCACCTGGGGGCTGCAGCGACTGTGAGATGCACATTGGGGGCTTCGACCTGGCACCTGCAGCGACTGTGAGGGGACCTGGGGGCTGCAGCGACAGTGAGGGACTGTGAGAGGCACCTGGATGGCTGCAGCGACTGTGAGGGCACCGGTGCAGCCTGGGAGGCTGCATCGACTGTGAGGTCGCCTGGGGGGCTGCGGCGACTGTGAGTGCACCCGTCGTCGCCGCCTCGTCGTGGTCGTCGCGTCGTCGTCGCCGAGTCGTCGTTGCCACGTCGTCGTCGCTCCCCCCTCAGTCAGTGAACCCACCACCAGCTGCGAACACCTCGCGTCGTCGTCGTGCACGCGTGTTCGTCGCCCCCTCCCCCGGTTCACCTGCGCCGGTTTGCCTTCGTCGCCACGTCGCCCGGTCGGTGAACCCACCACCGGCTGCGAACTCGTCGCGTCGTCGTCGCGTCGTCGCGTCGTCGTCGCCGCGTCGTCGTTGCCGCGTCGCCGTCGCTCCCCCTCAGTCGGTGAACCCACTACCAGCTGCGAACACGTCGCGTCGTCGTCGTGCACGCGTGTTCGTCGCCCCCTCCCCCGGTGAACCCGGTGAACCCGCAGGTTCACCATTTCACCTGCGCCGAAAAGCTCTCGTCGCCACGTCGCCCGTTCGGTGAACCCACCACCGGCTGCGACACCTCGCCGTCCTCTATACCGGTATCCTCACCCGTCCTCTCGTCGTCACGCGTGTTCGACCCCATCCTCGCTGCAGAGGGGCACTTGGGGGGCTGCAGCGACCGCGAGGGCACCTGGGGGGCTGCAGCGACTGTCTGGGGGGCTGCAGCCACATCGGTAGCCACATCGGTAGCCACATCCGTAGCCACATCAGTTGCCACAAACGGTAGCCACAAACGGCAGCCACAAACGGTAGCCACAAAAAGCTATCCATGTCGTCGTCGCTGCGTCGTCGTCGCCCGGCTCACACCGCCAGCGCTGGTCGTCGCTGCGTCGTCGTCATCCCTCTCCGCCTCTATCCTCACCGCTATCCTCATCGCCCGGCTCACACCACCAGCGCCGGTCGTCGTGCCCTCGTCGTCATCCCGCCTCTATCCTCACCGCTATCCTCGCCGCTATCCTCACCCATCCTCTTGGATCAGGAGTGAAGAGGAGCAGTGAGGCCCGTGAGGCTGCAGCGACTGTGACGGCATGGGGCGCTGCGGCGACTGTGACGGGCACTTGTGAAGGGGGCGCCTGGGGGCTGCAGCGACACTGTGAGGGGTTAGGGGGCTGCAGCGACTACTTGGGCTGCAGGGCGCCCACGAGACTGGGAGGGCCTGGGGACTGTGCCCGCAGAGGCTGCAGCGACTGCGAGGCCGCTTGAGGGCTGCAGCGACTGTGAGGGCACCTGGGACCTCCAGCGACGGTGAGGGCACCTGGGGGGTGCAGCGACTCGCCCGCGCCGTCGCCGCTTCCGCGTCGTCGCGTCGTCGTCGTCGTCGTCGTCGTCGCGTCGTGGCTGGCAACATTTGGCTGGCAACATTTGGTGCGGCTCGGTGGCAACAATTCGGTGGCAACAGTTGCGAGGCAACATTTAGCGCGGCTCGGTGGCAACAATTGCGTGGCAACATTTAGCGCGGCTGGGTGGCAACAATTGGGTGGCAACATTTAGCGTGGCTCGGTGGCGACAATTCGGTGGCGACAATTCGGTGGCATCAATTGGGTGGCAACAATTGCGTGGCAACAATTGCGTGGCAACAATTGCGTGGCAACAATTGCGTGGCAACATTTAGTGCGGCTCGGTGGCAACTTTGCCTTGGCAACATTTGGTGCGGCTCGGTGGCAACATCTCGGTGGAAACGTTTCGGCCGTGTCCTCCTCGTCGCCGCGTCGTCGTCGTTGCCGCGTCGTCGTCGCGTCGTCGTCGTCGCTCTGTCGTCGGGTCGTCGTCGTTGTGGTTGCGTCGTCGCCTCGTCGCCCTCTATACCGCTATCCTCACCCATCCTCTTGGGTCAGGAGTGAGGGGGAGCAATGATGCGAGATTTTTGTAGGCTACACTAGGAAACCTAGATAAGTAGCTGTACAGTGTAGAGAGAAAAGGGTTTGAGCTAAAGGGCTTTAACCTGACTGCGACTCACCGCAGCCCTCTTTTGCAGAGTGAAAATAGTGAGCCCAATACGCGACCCAACCTTCGCGCATGGTAGCGGAGCTGGTTCGGTAGGCCCCGACGCTCCTAGGGTGCGCGGGCCGGCACGTCCGAGTGGTGGGGCTGGTGGGACTGGGACTCCGACTGGAGTTCCCAGTGGGACTGGAGGACCTCCCAGCAGGAGGAGGCCTCTTCCAGTCAGGCACCAGGAGGTGCCAAGGGGAGCGGAGCCGCTGAAGCTCCAGCTCGACCGCGCCGCCCTCTCATAGGCGAGCGCACCGAAGCCCCGAACCAAGAACAGCCGAGCCCGAAAAGGGCAAAGGCAAAACCGGCCCGAGTGCGGGCCGCCCCGCCTCGGAGTCGGGGAGCCGAACCCCCCGTCGCGGGGAGAAGGGAGCAGGGAAGCCCACCAAGGGCAAGCCTGCCAAGGCAGCTGCGCAGCCCGCGAAGGGCAAGGCAGCACTAGCAAAAGGAGCAGAGCAGCCCGCGAAGGGCAAGCCAGCTCCAGCAGGCAAGTCCGGCAAGGGCAAGCCTGCGACCCAAGAGCCTGAACAGGGTTCTGGGAAAAAGAAGAACCACCGAGGTGGTCGTTCCCAAGCGGCCCGCGCCAACCGCGAGGCCCGCGGCGCCGAAAGGCGCGAAAGAGAGGGTACAGACCCGGTCGTCCTCGTAGAGGGCCCGGGGATTGATATCCCAGAGCCGCGCACGCCGGAGGAAGCTCCTGCAGGTGCCGGCCAGGCCATTCAGAGCCCAAGCTCTGAATCCTCCTTGGACACCGCGGCGGTGCCCAAGGCGCCAGTCTTCACAGGCCCCGTGCCTGGCGAGGACACTCCAGACTTCGGGGGAAGCAACTCCGAAGGGGAGCGGGAAACCCCGCCCGCTGCTGCTGCAGCTTCTTCCTCTAGCGGGGTCACCCCTGCTAAGAAGGAAGAGCCGGCAGAGCGGGTTGCCCCGCCTGCCTCCGCAAAGGCTGTCGCAGAGCCAGCCGAGGAGGCAAAACCAGAAGCCTCACCGAAGGCCGCGCCCAAGGCGGCCGAGGCAAAAGAAGAGAGCTCTGGAAGCCCCAGCTCCGAAGCTGGGCAGGAGCAAGCAGTCCCGGCGAGTGGACCCACGGAGGCCACCCCGGAGGCAGAGCCGAAGGCCCTATCGAGAGGTGCTCCGGCAGCCAAAGCACCGACGGTGAAGGCGCCGCCACCTCACTTGGGACCACCGCCTCCACTGAAGGAGGAACCCAAGGCCGCACAGCCAGGGCCAGCAGAGCCCGAGGCTGCGGTACCTCCCGCGCCTCGGGAGGAAGCTCTGGAGCAGGAGCAAGAGCCCACCTCGCCGGCCGACGAAGGTGAGGAAGAGGAGTCTGAAGAAGAGAGCTCCGAGGGCCAAGGACCGTGCCAGTTCCTGAACGGACTCAGGCACGCGGCTCGCAACAGGCCAGAGACCCCTTGGGAAGGCAACCCGAGGCTGGCAGAGCAGTACGGAGAAGCCCTGGTCTTGCTAGACGAGATCAGCCAGGCTATCTTCGACGCCTCAAGAGATGAGCCAGCAGCCGGCTTATCCGCCCCCGCAGGGCGACCCCGTGGTCGAGGCTCTGCGCGGGGAAGTCGCAACCCTTAGGGGGTTGTTGGAGAGCCAAGCGCAGCAGCTGCAGGCTGCGATTGGCGAGTTGTCGGCCCAGAGACAACAGGGCCTAGCTGCAGCAGCCGCTACGGCGGCAGCCGCCACGGCGGCACCCGCCCCTGCGTCGCAGGCGAGCGGTGGAGGGCACTTGCTCAAGAGCATGCGGCTCCCAACTTCCCTTAAGGGGAGAGACGACTGGGAGCGCTTTGCCTTTCAGGCAGAGTCTTACCTGGCGGTCGTGGACACCAGGTATCCAGCAGAGCTGGAAATAGCTCGAAAGTGCAAGGCGCCACTCCAAATGGCAGCCATGACCGAGGAAGTGCGGACCCTTAGCGTCCGCCTCTTCGGCATGCTGGGCAGCTGGACCCAGGACTCCGCCACAGCTGTAAAGCTGGCGCGCGGAGTGAAGGGCCAAAATGGGTTCGAGCTCTGGCGTCTCCTGTGGCAGGAGCACAACCCAGAGAACGAGTCCAAGAACCTCACCTGGAGGCGGACCCTGCTGATGCCGAAGTTCCCGCCAAAGGAGAGTGACTTCTCCTTGGCTCTGCAGGAATGGGAGGCAGATGTGGACCGCTACGCCTCCGAGTATGGCGCAGGGCGCGCCCTAGCAGATGAAGATCTGCGGGCAGTGCTGGTGACCGAGAGCCCCACCGCTCTTCGGCAACACCTCGCTATGCACGCGGCGAGTCTTTCGACTTATGCCGAGGTGAGGGAAGTGGTGGTGAGCTACTTGCAAGCCAAAAGGGTCTGGACCCCGAGTGCGGGCTACGCCGCCTCCTCCCGAAGGGATCCTAACGCCATGGACATTGGCAGAATAGGGGACCGAGACGGGAAGGATGGAAAAGGCAAAGGCGACAAAGGCAAAAAGGGGGACAAAGACCACAAGAAGGGCAAGGGCGACCACAACGACAAAGGCAAGAAAGGGGACAAAAAGGGGAACCAGCAAGGAGGCAGAGACGGCAAAGAGAGATGCCCCATCTGCTGGAAAACGGGGCACACCGTAAAAGAGTGCTGGTTCAACGCCAAAGGAAAAGGCAAAGGCACCAAGGGCCAGGTGGCCCAAGTGGCCGACGACGCGGCCACGACGGTGTCAACAGCTTCCTTGGCGACTGCGGGTCCCTCCGCGTCCCAAGTTGGGGGAAGCACCGGCGGCTCTGGCGGCAAGGGCCAGGTGCGCCAGGTGCGCGACGACCGCATCTTAGGTGTGCGGTTTGCCCCGCCTCACGACACCGAGCCAGAGGAGGACAAAATCCTCAAGGTGTCGGGGAGTCTTCTTGTGGACTCCGGGGCGTGTGTGTCCGTGTGCAGGCCCGAGGCGTTTCCCGACCTGCAGCCCGCGGGCCCACCAAAGAGCCTTTACTCGGTGGACAACAGCCGCCTGAAAACAAAGGGCCGTGTCCAGCCGAGCCTCCTCTTAGGGGAGGAGCGTCAGTCCTGCAAGGTCAACTTTGAGGTGACCGAGGACATAGAGGATGAAATCCTCAGCATCAGCCGTGCTGTTGAGGCCGGTGCGGGCATTTGGCTCCACCGAGAGGACAGCCACATTTTGTGGCCCGACGGCGTCCGAGCCTCGATCCTCAAGAGAGGGTCACAGTTCCTCCTACCGGCAGAGCCACCAAACCCAGGCAAGGACCTGGGACACTACGAGTACATCCCGGAGCACGACCTCGAAGCTCGAGAGGTAGAGGACGCGGCGATGGAGGCAGCAGCCGACGAAGAGGCCGCAGCTGCTGAAGAGGAGGAAGCTGCGGGAAACCCCGCCCCTCTAGAGGAGCAGGCCGAGCAGCCTAACTCCAGGCCACGCGGCCTAAGGGCACCGCGCAACCCCACGGCGCAGGAACGCGCCGAGCACGAGCTCACTCACACGCCCTACCAGGCGTGGTGCGAGAAGTGCGTGGAGGGAAAGGCACGCGAGGACCCTCACCGCCGCCGTGAGCCCTCGGATGATCCGGTGACGCCGCTTGTCACCATGGATTATCAGTTCTACAGCCGGGACGGGAAAGAAGTTGAGGAAGAAGCGTCGCTTGCCACGGTGCTGAACCTCACAGACAGGGCCACTGGCTGGACTCTGTCAGTTCCCGTGGCGCACAAAGGGCACAGACACGCGGCTTACGCCGCAGGGCTTGTGGAGCAGTTCGTGGACCGCCTGGGGTACGACAAGTTCACCCTGCAGGCCGACCAAGAGAACGCTATAGCCTCTGTGGCCCGTGCGGTCCACCGCCGGCTGGGAGCTGCTAGGGTGCGTCTTCGGGACGCCCCTCGCGGGTCACACCAAAGCCAAGGATCCGTGGAGGGAAGGAACGCACACCTAGCAGGCGAGGTTCGCACTTGGCTTTCGCAGCTAAGAGCGGACTACCCCGCCTTAGAGTGGGACACTTCGTCCAACCTGTTCCCGTGGCTGGTCAGGCACGTGGCCTGGCTGCAAGCCCGGTTCGGGACCAAGTCGACGGACGGGGTGACACCATATCGGGCAGCCATTGGCACCGACTATGGTGGAGCACTTTGCTCCTTTGGAGAAACCGTTCTAGCTAAGCTCCCGAGGCCCGGGAACAAAGCGCAGGTGCGCTGGGTCAAAGGGGTCTGGGCCGGCAAGCTGGAGCGCGACGACTCCCACGTGGTGCTAACCGAAGCGGGCGCACTCAACGTGAGGAGCGTCAGGCGACTCCCGCCGGAGACCCGACACCAGACGGCAGCCGTTCTTAAAGCGTGCGGCCTGCCTTGGAACCCTAGATTTGGCCGCTCAGCGCCAGCAGAGCGCAGCGAGCCGATGATGGTTCCAATCCCTCTGGCCACGCCGGCTGAAGAAACGGAGCGGCTAGAACCGCCCGGTGAGCCCTGGCTCTTCAGCGACGGGCCGCGGCCCGACGACGAGGCCCTCTTAGTCGAAGGGGCCGAGCAGGCCAGCAGGCTCCCGGACGCCAGCCCTACCGAGGAGCTGGCCAACGCAGAAATACCGGACTACGAGCCGTCCGACGTGGAGGCAGGACCTTCCGCAGCAAGCGCGCTGCCGCAACAAGCGGCAAGCCCCGCCCCAGCCGCCAACGACGGCTCAGGCGAAGGGGGGCAGAAGCGCGACTCTGCGGGTTCCTCCGCGAGCGCAGCGGCAGCACAGCAGCCGCCTGCAGCAAAGAGCCGGGTGGAGCCCAAAAAGGCACCGCGGCTAGGAGCGCTCACAGAGCGCGAGGTGTGGCAGCACATCGCTGCCTTAGCCGACCCACCGCTCACCAACCACAAGGGCGAGCGGGACGCGTGGGTTGGGCAGGTGACAGACCTGCTAGACCGGATGCTCGACCCCAAGCAGGTCGAGCAGGCACGCAAGGAGCAGCTAAGAAAGCTGTGGGACCGAGGCGCTTTCACGCCCGTGCTGCGGTCTGAAGTACCGCGCGGGGCGCAACTGTTCAGGGCAAAGTGGGTCGACAAGTGCGACAAAGGGCGGTACAAGTCAAGGTGTACCTGTGCCGACGTCAAGGCCCGCTACAGCCCAGAACAGGAAGCTGGCTTGGACGTTTTCGTCCCAACGCCAACGCCCGAGAGTCACTCCCTACTTGAGGTAGCAGCGCTACACAACGAGGGGTGGGTCACAAGGTCTCTGGATATTGTGGCCGCCTTCCTCATAGGGAGGGACCGCGGTGCGGCGGAAGGCCGCCCGGTCTACATGCATGCGCCTGTGGAGTGGCGCGAGCTCTTTGACCAATGGGTCTTGGAGCAGCCTGCAAAGGACCAGCAGTGGTACCGAGACCACTTCCGGGACTTTGTGTTCCGAGTGGACGGCAACCTCTACGGCCGAAGAACGGCTGGTTCCGTCTACAGGGACGAGCTGGAAGAAGTCCTCACCGGCAAGCTGGCCAAGGACTACGACTTCCAGCGTGGCGTGAAGGACCCGTGCGTGTACCTAGACCGCCGGTCCGGCCTGATCCTTCTCCACCATATCGACGACATCCGTGTCGCAGGCCCCAAGGCCGCAGTGCTCAAGTTCACGGAGGTGGACCTCCCGACGCACTGTGAGATAACGGTGGGAGAACTGGAAGAGCCGGGCACAGCGGTGGAGGTCCTGGGAAGGACCAAGGTGCGCACAGAGGACTCTATCCTCACGCTGCCCGACAGCAAGCACGCAGAGAATGTGTGCGAGCAGCTGGGCATCGGTCCAAAAGACAAGGGGACCGTGCCTAGCAAACCTCTAGACCTGACCAAGGTCGAGGAGCTCTCTGCGGGTGACGCCGCGAGGTTCCGCAGCGCCGTGGGTAGCGCTATCTACCTATCGGCGGACAGGCGAGACATACAGTTCGCCGTGAAAGAGCTGGCACGAAGGATGCAGAACCCCAGGGTCTGCGACTGGCTCGCTGCGGAAACCCTCGCGCGATACCTGCGGGCAACCCCGCGGTTTGGAAGGGTGGTTGTGCTGGACCCCGCGTCCAAGAGCACAGCCCTTCTGAACTTGGAGGTCTACTCCGACTCCGACTGGGCAGGGTGCCCAGAAACGAGAAGGAGCACAGACAACATAGTTGCCTGTCTCGGGGGAGCAGTCATCCAGACAAGCTGCCAGACACAGCCTGGCCTCCCAGCCACCTCCAGCGGAGACGCGGAGATCCGGGGAGTGTCAAGAGCAGCAAGGGAGGCTGTCTTCCTACGAGAGCTTGCGGAGAAGGACTTTGCCCTAGCCTGCGGCGTGCCGCGGCTCTGGGCAGACTCCGCAGCTTCGATCGGAGCCGCCAAGCGAATAGGCCCAGGGTCCAAGCTGAGACACCTGGAAGTCGCGGAATTCTTTGTCCAAGGCGCGCTCAGAGCCAAACTTCTCGAACTGAGAAAAGTTAAGGGAACCGGCTACCAAGCACGCGAAGACTGGACCGGAGGTGCGGCAATCCCTGCCCTCCATGGGCATGGTGGACCTCGATGCGGTCGCAGGCGCCACCGAGGCTCTGGCCCAAAAGGGCACGATCAAGACGATCCAGGCTAGCCCCTGGAAGATGAGACCGCCGACCAAGCTCACGAGCTCGGCGCTCATGGCCACAATCGTGGCGCTGCAGGTTCGACCTGCCAAGGCCCAAGGGCACGACTTCGCAGAGCTGGTGCTCGGCTTCGCGGCCCTAGGCTTCCTGGCCTTCCTGTGGATGCTTTGGGGTTTAGTCTCCTGGTTCTGCAGGTGCAGGCGTGACAGGCAGGAGCCGGAGCCCGAGGATGAGATCGAGCACCACGCCGAGCGTGCCGAAGAGCCGCCGCGTGCAGCTCAAAGGGCCACTGAGATCTGGCTAGGGCCAGAAGAAGAAGCGCCAAACCAGGCGCAGCAACGAGGAGGTGGGCAGCAGCCAAGGGGGGCTCAAGAGCCAGAGCCTGAGGGCGACCGGACCCCAGGTCCGCCCCCTGTGGCAGACGCGCCACCACCACCGCCGCCCGCTGCACCAAGAGTGCGGCGCAGGCGTAGGGGACCAGAACCCCTTTCGGGGGACGACGAGCATCTCTACGAGACAGCCCGCGGTGACAAGATCCATTTTTTCACCAACTGCAATGGGCTGAGCTCCGTCCCGCCGGATCAAATCCTGATCGGCTTTCGCTGCCACTGTGCAGCAGATCCTCAGAACTCCGAGTTCCTCTGGACCGGGTTCGCCTTTCAAGTGGCCACCGGCCGCGTTGTGCGCCGGTACCACGGCCAACAGCGAGGTTGCCCATTCATGGAAGGGGCAACAATCAGACACAGGGTGTGTCTCCACTGCCGCAACGGGCACCAGAGCACCAAGCCCGGCAGTGCGGTGAACAACTCCCGCCAGTGGGTGCCTCCACCCTAAGGGGCCCCTAGCGGGTAGCACCGCAGGGCGAGCCTTTCGGCTGCCAGCCCTGTGCGCGGGACGCTCCGCCCTACCAGGGGCGTCTCACCCTCCGACTGCGGGATGCCCCGCGGGAGGCTCTCTCAAACCCCTACCTCTAAGGGGGGTGCGAGATTTTTGTAGGCTACACTAGGAAACCTAGATAAGTAGCTGTACAGTGTAGAGAGAAGAGGGTTTGAGCTAAAGGGCTTTAACCTGACTGCGACTCACCGCAGCCCTCTTTTGCAGAGTGAAAATAGTGAGCCCAATACGCGACCCAACCTCCGCGCAAATGAGGCCTGGGCACTGCCGCGAGGCTGGGGCACCTGAAGGCTGCAGCGACTGTGAGGGCACGTGGGGGCTGCAGCGGGGGAGAGGCTGTTGTCGTCGCCGCCTCGTCGTCGCCGCGTCGTCGTGTCCCACCTCGGCGCGGCTCGGTAGCGACATTTCGGTGGCGACATTTCGGTGGTGACATTTCTGGAGCGACTTTTCGGTGGCAACATTTCGGTGGCACCATGCGGTCCTTGTCACCGCGTGTTCGTTGTCTGCGCCTTTGGGGTTAGGTAGCAGTGAGGCCTGTGAGGCTCTCATGAGACCGCTGGGGCTGCAGCGACTGTGAGGGGCACCAGGGGGCTGCAGCGACTGTGCACCTAAGACCTGCAGCGACCGTGAGGGGCACCTGGGGGGGCTGCAGACTCGCCTGCGCCGTCGCCGCGTCCACGTCGTCGTGTCGCATCGTCGTCGCGTCGCATCGTGGTCGCGTCGTGGTCGCGTCGTCGTCGCGCCGCCCTCACCTCTACCCCGCTATCCTCACCCCATCCTCTTGGGTCAGGAGTTATAGGACCCGCGGGAGGGGTGCAGCGCTGCGCATGCCTGGGCTCTGTGAGGGTGTGGTTCGCCCAGCAAAGCAGCGAGGGCACCTGTGAGAGGGCACTTGGGGCCTGGTGAGCTTGAGTGGGCAGTGAGGGTGTCTGTGAGGGCGCCTGCATGAAGCCTTTGCATCCAGTGAAGGCACGAGGGCAGCCGGGGCTGTGAGGGCACCCATGGACCTGCAGCGATTGTCAGGGGGTAGCAGCGACGGTCTGGGGGCAGCTTCGCCGCGTCGTCGTCCCCCCATCCCCCGCGCGGTCGCCGGCTCGTCGTCGCCGGCTCGTCGCTTACTCGTCGCCAAGTCGTCGCTCGTCGCCGCGCCGTCGTCCTCACCGGTATATCCTCACATCTATCCTCGCCGGTATCCTCACCGCTATCCTTACCCGGTCCTCACCGCCGCGCCGTCGTCGTCGTCTCCACGCCGCCGTGTCATCGCCGAGTCCTCACCGGAATCCTCACTGCTATCCTCACCCCGCGCCGTCATCGCCGCCTCGTCGCCATTATATCCTCACCATTCCTCACCGCTGTCCTCACTCCGGCGTCACCGCGGCGTCGCCTCGTCGCCGCGTCGTCGCCTCGTTCCTACGGTATCGGCCCACGTTGTCCGCTGCGATATCACCCGCTATCCTCACCTCTATCCTCGCCTCGTTCCGGCCTCGTCGTCGCCCATCCTCACCCACTCTCCTCACCCGCTTGGGTCAGGAGTGCAGCGCCTGCAGCGAGGCATCCGTGAGGCACCCGCTAGGGCAGGCGCACCCACGCACGTGGCAGGCACCTGCAGCGAGGCTGGGGGCTGCAGAAACTTGTGAGGGCACCTGTGACCTGCAGCGACTGTGAGGGCCTGGAACGGTTGGGGGCTGTGGATTGTGAGGGACATGGGACCTGCAGCGACTGTGAAGGTGTCTGGAAGGCTGCAGCGAGGGCACTCGGCAGCGAGGGCATTCGGCAGCGAGGGCACCTGTGAGGCACCTGGAGAGACTGCGTCACCGCGTCGTACCGGAGGCGGCTGTGCAACCAGGTGCACCCACGTCTCGCATCGTCATCGCGTCGTCATCGCGTCGTCGTGGCCGCGTCTCGCTCCCATCGTCGCCTCGTCGTCCCATCGTCGCCTCGTCGTCCCAGCCTCGCCGCGTCGTCGCTCGTCGTCGCCGCGTCGTCTTCGTCGCGTCGTCCCCGCCGCATCGCCGTCGTCGTCAGCCGGTTCACCGCCGCCCCCTCAGTTGCGCCTCGGTGACTGCCGTCAGCTTCCGAGCCGCTCGCCCGTCACCGCTCGCCGTCGTCGCCGCAGGCCATCATCAAGCGTTCACACGAATGCACCTAACACGCAACGCCGAGCGGCTCTTCAGCCCTGGTTTCAAGTCTCGCAGCTGCCTGACCTCGCTTTACGCTCCGTGCTTGTGCTTTACCAAAGTCTCGATCGGAGTTGTTAGAAGGTTGGGGGTAGAGCTGCACTTTTCCCGCAGAGGGCAGCTCTCCAGGCATGCATTTCACGATGTTATGGTCGCCGCTGTTCACGGTGGTCGCCCTGCGCCTGCACGCCGGTGCTTACGCCGATGAGGTCGAGGTGGGCCGGGCTCGGCAAGGAGACTGCAGTGCGCTGGGCTTGGAAGCTTGGAAAGTGCTGGGGCTTGGGGACTATGTGGAAGTTGCAAGGCTGCAAGGCCTCCAGCCTCCAAGCTGGGCTTGGGGGCTGCACCGTCCCATCGTCGTCAGTCGGCGCACCCAGCTGCAATCAAGTGCATTCAGGTGCACACCGCCGCTCCCTCCCTTGTGCCGCCCGGCCCCGCCGCCCCTCCTGCCCCGTCGTCGTCGCCGCGTCGTTGTCGCGTCGTGCTCTATATACCTCTATCCTCACTCTCACTGCCGCGTCCGCCGCACTGCTTTACTTCTACGCCTACCACGTGAAGGCACCAAGCTCCTACGTCCCCGCGTCGTCGCCGCATCGTCGCCGCGTCGTCGTCGCTGCGTCGCCACATTGCGTCGTCGCGTCGTCGTCGCGTCGTCGTCGCGTTGTCGCCGCGCCGTCCTTCTTGCCATGTTCTTGCGTCGTCGTCGCATCGTCGACGTCGTCGTCGTCATCGCCGCGTCGTCCCCCTTCGTTGCCGGGTCGTCGTCGCCGGGTCGTCGTCGCCGCGCCGCAAGAAAAAACAACCGTTCCTGGCCTCTTTTTGGGACCCTTGCAAAGGAGGCCTGCAGCACCTGGCCTGCCTGTGAGCTGCGAGGGCACCTAGTGAGGGGCACATGGTCAAAGGAGCGGGCACGGGCACCGGTGCCGGAAGCACCGGCAAGGGCACCTGGTCAAGCACCTGGTGAGGGCACTTGGGTCAGGGCACCTAGTGAGGGCACCGGGGCTGCAGCGAGGGCGCCCTACCCACAACTCTTTTCATAAGGTTCTCATCAGCCCAGTTCTCCAACCCAGTTAAGGTGCCATGTGATGAGGTGACCTGCCACCGCGTCGTCGCCGCGCTGCCTTTATCACCTTTATCCCACCCTTGCCGCCGTGTCGTCGTCGCCCGTGTTCGCTGGTATCCTCATCTCCTCGCCACCGCGTCGTCGTCATCCGTCCTCGCTTCTATCTTCACCACTGTCCTCGCTGGTATTCTCACCTCCTCGACGCCGCGTCGTCGTCATCAATCCTCGCTTTTCTAGCCTCCCCCCCTGTCCTCAGCGGTATCCTCACCTCCTCGCCGCCACGTCGTCGTCATCCGTCCTCGCTTCCATCCCACCGGCATCCTCACCGCTATGGTCGTCGTCGTCGTCGTCGTCGTCGTCGCATCGTCGTCGGCGTCGTCGCATCGTCGCCGTGCTCGCGCCGCTGCTCCGCTGCCCCGCGTGCTCCCCCTGCATGGCATCGCACCGTCGCTGGAATCGAGGCCTAGGAGCCCCCCACTGCGTCCCACCAACAGTCCGGCATGCATGGCATCTGCGGCAGCCCTCGCCGTGTCGTCGTCGAAGCGTCGTCCCCGCATCGCCGTCGTCGTCGCCGCGTCGTCGTCGTCATCGCCGTCGCATCGTCGTTCCTCGCCGCGTTGCCGTCGTCGTCGCCGCCGTGATGCCGTCTCGCCGTCCGAGACTGCGGCCGTCGTCGGTCCCAGCATCGTCGTCACCGTCGCCGTCGTCCGAGAGCCGCGCGACGCCCCACCGCGTCGTCGCCGCATCGTCGCATCCTCGCCGTCGTCGCCGTCGTCTATATCCTTATTTTCGTGCTGGTTTCTAACCCACCACGGCCTTTCGAGGTCGCCCCACACTCACCCGTCGTTGGTCTGCCCTCGCCCTGCCCTCCGCGCGCCGTCGTCGCGGCCTGTTCCCGGCCTATTCGCCCGCCGTCGTCATCGTCGCGTCGTCATCGTCGCCATTTGAGACACTTGCGACATCCGAGTCGATCGTTGTCGTTGCCCCTCTTTCCAGCCCTGCAGCCCATCGTCGTCGTCGGTCGTCGTCGCCACCGCCGGCGTGGCCAATCGCCACGGAGCCTGTCGTAAACCGCTGCCGCAGCTTTTGCCGCAACAGCCTGATGCAAGCCCTTAGCAGCAGCAGCCCTGCAGCAGGCAGCCCCAGCAGCAGGCAGCCCCAGCAGCAGCAGCCGGCAGCACCACCCAAGCAGCAACAGCGCCGAGCCCAGCAGCAACAGCAGTGGCACCAACAGCAGTGCAGCAGCGGCCGTAGCAGCGCAGCAGCCAGCAATCAGCAAAGCGGTGCCCACGACTGGGACATGGTTTTTGTTTTTTGTTTTCATATTTTGCATAATGTTCATCTTGGAAGCTAGCCAGAGATGTTGGAGCTGACCTCAAATCAAGCAGGGAAATCTTTAGCAAGCAGCAAGGCAAATTTCACCAGTACCAAAATGTTACTGACAAGAAGTCCTGAAAATGTGTTTAGAAGATAGGAATCCTGAAATGAAGTATGGACATGATCTACGTTTGCGCGCATTTTGGGCATGTTTTCTTTGGACTTCGTTTTTTTGCATGGCTTGGCTCACGGGTGCCGTTTTTGGGGGGTGATGAGGCGGGCTCTGCTTCATCCTTGTTTATGTTTTCTGAACATTGCATGAGCATGGCAGCATGCTGCTGGCAGGTGCGGGTGGTCCAGCCTCCAACAAGTGGACGAGATCTGTTGTTCAGCTGCTGCTGTTCACGCGGGTTTGCATTGCAACTTGCTGATTGAGCATACCTCCGTTGCCACCTTGCTGCACAGTGCTTTGGTTCAAAGTCTGGAGAGATGTACAATGTCGCCAGCCAAGCGCCCCGCTGCTCCATCGGCGAAGGACAGCGTCAAAGGGGTTTTTGGAGCTGTAGTTGCCAGAAGCCCTGTTTCTGGTGCAGGAGCGAGTCGGAGCGAGGACCAAAAAGCTGCTAGATCCGGACATGAGGCGTGATTTGAGATCGGCTCGTAGCTCAGACGTGCTCCACTTTGTTTTTGCGATCCAGCCTGGCAGGAAAGTTTGTGGGATCGTCAGCTGCGACGGGCACTAGGCCGGCTCGAGATCGCGCAGGACCGTTTGAAGACGGCCAAAACTAAGCAGGATGTCGATGTGGCCAAGAATGGAGCTGTGGTTCAGTAGTGCTGGCATGGTCTTATGGCCTCGGTCCAGGTGTGCAAGTTGATGAGTTGGCGGCTGGCTTGGCGGCTGGCTTGGGGTCTAGGCGGGTTTTCCTTTATCATGCGCAAGTTTTTGTGAACATGAGGATGCCAGCATGCTGTTGGCAGGTGGGGGCTATGGTCCGGCCTCCAACAAGTGGATGAGGCCTGTTGTGCAGCTGTTGTTGCGCGGGTTTGCATTGCAACTTGCTGGTGGAGAGAACCTCTGTTGCCACCGTGCGGCGCAGTGCTTTGGTTCTAATTCGCGATGTTGTCAGAGAAGCGTCCCGCCGCTGAGCCGACGGAGGACGCCGTCAATGCGAGTTTCTTGGAAGTTTGGTTGCCGGAAGCTTTTTTGTTGTGCAGGAGCGAGGACCAAAAGCTGCTAGAATTGAAGATGAGGCGCGATTTGAGATCGGCTCGTAGCTCAGACGTGCTCCAGTCTGTGTTGTGATCCGGCCTGGCAGGTTAATACTGCAAAGCGGCAGCTGCAACTCGCGCTGAAGCAGCAGGGGCTCGCTCAAGACCAATGGAAGACCGCTCAAGACCAATGGAAGAATGCCGTGGAAGCCGGAGACCAAGCGAAGCTGAATGTGGTTCAGTAGTGCTGGCATGGTCTTATGGCCTAAGTGTGCAAGTCGATGAGTTGGCGGCTGGCTTGGCTCCCGTTTTGGTCAAGGCGGGCTTTCATTTGTCATGCACAAGTCTTGTGAACATGAGCACGACAGCATGCTGCTGGCAGGTGCGGGTTATGGTCCAGCCTCCGACAAGTGAACGAGGCCTTTTGTGCAGCCGTTGTTCACGCGGGTTTGCATTGCAACTTGCTGGTGGCGAGTACCTCCGTTGCCACCGTGCGACGCAGTGCCTTGGTTCAAATTCTGGAGAGATATTCAATGCCGCCAGAGAAGCGCCCCGCCGCTCCATCTGTGGAGGACCGCGTCAAAGGGAGTTTCCTGGAGCTTCAGTTGCTGGAAGCCTTTTCTTCTGCAGGAGCCGCCGCAAAAAGTTGTTAAAGAGGCGCGGTCGGGTATGCTGTGCAGGATTTCAGATCGGATCGTAGCTGAGACCTACCCAGTGCATTCCGCGATCCAGCCTGGCAGGAAAGCCCCTGGGAAAAACAGCTGCGACTGGCACTGAAGGAGAAGGAGACGGCGCTGCAGGAGAAGGCTATAGCACTGGGGAGATTGCAGAAGGCCACAGAGGCCAACGACAAGAATGATATCGCGGAGGCCGAGAAGAAGGTCGAGGCGGCCGAGAAGAAGGTCGAGGCGGCCAAGAAGGAGGTCGAGGCGGCCAAGAAGGAGGTCGTGGCGGGTCCAGCCCAGGCCAGGTCAGCTCGCACTTGAGGGGTCTCCAGGCTAGTTTTGGTGCATGAGGGTCGACTCAGGTCGCGGTAGCTTCGAGATTTGGTGCTGTAGACGTTCGCCGCTTGAGGAATTGCCGACTCCAAGTTCGAAGACGAAAGTCGGGCTCCTCCAGCTTGGGGAGTTCAAGGCCGACGAGCTGCTCGACGTCAAGGATTTCATGGACTTCGTGGCACCCAACACGACCGCTGACAGACCGCTCTTCCTGCGAAAGCATCTCCTCAACGTGCACGAAAAGGCAGTGGAGGCTTTGCAGTCGGAGCACAAACGCCTGGTGTCGCTGGTCGGCTGCCCTGGCACCGGCAAGACGTGGTGCGGGTGGCTGGTGGCCTACACCCTGCAGAAGGTGGGCAAGAAGACCCTGCACCTGACGATCAGGAACTCAGACGTGACGGCCATCGCCAACTTCCAGGTGAAGAAGCAGTACGAGGAGGTGAGCTGGAACGGGCACATGCTCAAGCAGGTCCTGAGAGAGTCGAAGTGCCAGGTCTGCATCGTGGACGTGAGCATGAACAAGCCGGATGCGGCCATGGACATCTTCACCGGCATCCAGCAGCTGATCGAGCGGAACGAGGAAGAGTTCGCTGGCGTGAAGTTCATGGGGCTGCTGTCCGGCCACGGCCAGGAGAAGATCACAGGCAAGCAGTTGAGTCTGCAGGTCATACAAAAGCTGGTGCTTTGGAGCTGGAGAGAAGAGGAGGTCGCCACTCTATGTACAAAGCTGAAAGATGCAGGTTCGGAGCCTCCATCTGACGAGGCCTACAAGGTGTGTGGAGGATCTGTGCGGTATCTTTTCCGACACGAAGAAGAGGCGAAACGAACTAGAGACGCCGTGAAAGGGCTCTCCCAAGATGAGATGAAGAGGTTGCTTGCCCTGGATATGCCCTTAGACGACCAGCAGGGGAAGAACCGCAGCAGACTTCTCTCGTTCTTTCCCAGCAGAGGTGCTTCCAATGCAGTCGATGAGTACTTCGCGGAGGGCGTCAGCGAGGCACGGCCGATGCCCCGCTCCGACTTCGTCATCAAGTGCATCAAGCAGAACAAGCACGCGAAGTTTGAGGAGGTGTTAAACATGTACAAGGAGCTCTCGAACATGAACGCAGGCGCCGCCGGCTGTGCCTTCGAGCTCTTGGTCCACCTGTTTTGGCGGGATGCTGCCGCGACAAAGCAGAGGGTCGAGCTTTCACTTACGGGCGAGGAGATCGCCACGGTGGAAGTGGATTGCGCAGAGTTCCCGCAAAGGCCTCAAAGTATCGAAGAGTATGACAAGGAGGCCGTCGCAGTCCTCAACGAGCTTGAGGGCTACTTCACGCCTGACAGCCCGCGATTTCCTGTGCTCGACAGCATTCTCAGGTACAAGTCTGCCGGCAAGATCGAGGTGCTGGCCATCCAGATCAGCATTGCCGCGACTCACGAGCACGGCAAGCTCGCAAATCCGCCGAAGTTGCTGACTTCTCGGTCAGGCAGTGACAAGCTGCGCTTGGCCTTGTGGGACTTTCCCCCAGACAAACGTTGCAATTGGAAGCCCAACAAATCTGAGCACTGGAAGCGGCTGCATGTTGGCTGCAAGGCCTTTGACGAGCGCATGCTGCAACGCTGATAGCAAAAGTTTCCGGGAACAGCGCAGTGTTTGAGCAAGGTATCTTTGTTTACTCTTTGCTTTCTTGCTCATGTCACGTTGGGCTGGAAGGTCGTGCTTGGACCTCGCTGGAGGCATTCTTTGTTCAGCAATTGTGTGATTTCGCAGACTCCTCGTGTGGGTAGTTTGGCTAGATGTGCCATGTTTGTCTTGGAGGTCGTTCCCCACACGCTTTGACCTTCAGGCATCAAAAGCTTTCTGCAGTCGTGCGAGCTCAGCGGCACTGAGTGTTCAGGAGCTCACGCCCCTGCCGAAGTTGCTGCCTCCGAGAACTGGTACCAAGCTGCAGTTGGCCTTATGGGACTTTCCCCCAGACAAACGTTGCAATTGGAAGCCCGAAGACTCTGAGCACTGGGAGCCGCTGCATGTTGGCTGCGAGGCTTTTAACAAGCGCATGCGTGGCCGTTGAAAAGTTTCCAGGAACAGTGCAGCGTTTGAGCAAGCGTCCTTTGTTTGCTTGCTTTCTTGCTCAAGTTAATCCTGTAGGTCGTTCCACGGCGCCCGGGCCCCGCCCCAAGCATCCATTGGTCCAGCAGTTGTAGGTTGTTAGAGGCACCTCATGAGTTGTTTGGCCTGCTATGCCATGTTTGTTTTAGGAGGTCCTTGCCATGCGGTTCGACTTTAAGACATCGAGGATTTCGGGGGCGGTCACAACGGGCGCCGTCCTCCATGTGGATGTCTCGAGCCTCCAGATTCGCACGGGTGCTTGATTGCAGGATAAGCGCCAGTCGTGGGCACCGCTTTGCTGATTGCTGGCTGCTGCGCTGCTACGGCCGCTGCTGCACTGCTGTTGGTGCCACTGTTGTTGCTGCTGGGCTCGGCGCTGTTGCTGCTTGGGTGGTGCTGCCGGCTGCTGCTGCTGGGGCTGCCTGCTGCTGGGGCTGCCTGCTGCTGGGGCTGCCTGCTGCAGGGCTGCTGCTGCTGCTGCTAAGGGCTTGCATCAGGCTGTTGCGGCAAAAGCTGCGGCAGCGGTTTACGACAGGCTCCGTGGCGATTGGCCACGCCGGCGGTGGCGACGACGACCGACGACGACGATGGGCTGCAGGGCTGGAAAGAGGGGCAACGACAACGATCGACTCGGATGTCGCAAGTGTCTCAAATGGCGACGATGACGACGCGACGATGACGACGGCGGGCGAATAGGCCGGGAACAGGCCGCGACGACGGCGCGCGGAGGGCAGGGCGAGGGCAGACCAACGACGGGTGAGTGTGGGGCGACCTCGAAAGGCCGTGGTGGGTTAGAAACCAGCACGAAAATAAGGATATAGACGACGGCGACGACGGCGAGGATGCGACGATGCGGCGACGACGCGGTGGGGCGTCGCGCGGCTCTCGGACGACGGCGACGGTGACGACGATGCTGGGACCGACGACGGCCGCAGTCTCGGACGGCGAGACGGCATCACGGCGGCGACGACGACGGCAACGCGGCGAGGAACGACGATGCGACGGCGATGACGACGACGACGCGGCGACGACGACGGCGATGCGGGGACGACGCTTCGACGACGACACGGCGAGGGCTGCCGCAGATGCCATGCATGCCGGACTGTTGGTGGGACGCAGTGGGGGGCTCCTAGGCCTCGATTCCAGCGACGGTGCGATGCCATGCAGGGGGAGCACGCGGGGCAGCGGAGCAGCGGCGCGAGCACGGCGACGATGCGACGACGACGACGACGATGCGACGACGACGACGACGACGACGACGCGGCGACGACGGTGCGACGGCGGCGCGGCGGGCGAGGGTAGTGGTGAGGATACCGGTGAGGATAGAAGCGAGGGCGGATGACGACGACGTGGCGGCGAGGAGGACTGGCGAGGAGGGGAGGATACCGCCGGTGAGGACAATCATAGCGGTGAGGATGCCGGTGGGATGGAAGCGAGGACGGATGACGACGACGTGGCGGCGAGGAGGTGAGGATACCGCTGAGGACAGGGGGGGAGGCTAGAAAAGCGAGGATTGATGACGACGACGCGGCGTCGAGGAGGTGAGAATACCAGCGAGGACAGTGGTGAAGATAGAAGCGAGGACGGATGACGACGACGCGGTGGCGAGGAGATGAGGATACCAGCGAACACGGGCGACGACGACACGGCGGCAAGGGTGGGATAAAGGTGATAAAGGCAGCGCGGCGACGACGCGGTGGCAGGTCACCTCATCACATGGCACCTTAACTGGGTTGGAGAACTGGGCTGATGAGAACCTTATGAAAAGAGTTGTGGGTAGGGCGCCCTCGCTGCAGCCCCGGTGCCCTCACTAGGTGCCCTGACCCAAGTGCCCTCACCAGGTGCTTGACCAGGTGCCCTTGCCGGTGCTTCCGGCACCGGTGCCCGTGCCCGCTCCTTTGACCATGTGCCCCTCACTAGGTGCCCTCGCAGCTCACAGGTAGGCCAGGTGCTGCAGGCCTCCTTTGCAAGGGTCCCAAAAAGAGGCCAGGAACGGTTGTTTTTTCTTGCGGCGCGGCGACGACGACTCGGCGACGACGACCCGGCAACGAAGGGGGACGACGCGGCGATGACGACGACGACGTCGACGATGCGACGACGACGCAAGAACATGGCAAGAAGGACGGCGCGGCGACAACGCGACGACGACGCGACGACGACGCGACGACGCAACGACGCCGACGACGACGACGATGTGGCGACGCAGCGACGACGACGCGGCGACGATGCGGCGACGACGCGGGGACGTAGGAGCTTGGTGCCTTCACGTGGTAGGCGTAGAAGTAAAGCAGTGCGGCGGACGCGGCAGTGAGAGTGAGGATAGAGGTATATAGAGCACGACGCGACAACGACGCGGCGACGACGACGGGGCAGGAGGGGCGGCGGGGCCGGGCGGCACAAGGGAGGGAGCGGCGGTGTGCACCTGAATGCACTTGATTGCAGCTGGGTGCGCCGACTGACGACGATGGGACGGTGCAGCCCCCAAGCCCAGCTTGGAGGCTGGAGGCCTTGCAGCCTTGCAACTTCCACATAGTCCCCAAGCCCCAGCACTTTCCAAGCTTCCAAGCCCAGCGCACTGCAGTCTCCTTGCCGAGCCCGGCCCACCTCGACCTCATCGGCGTAAGCACCGGCGTGCAGGCGCAGGGCGACCACCGTGAACAGCGGCGACCATAACATCGTGAAATGCATGCCTGGAGAGCTGCCCTCCGCGGGGGAAGTGCAGCTCTACCCCCAACCTTCTAACAACTCCGATCGAGACTTTGGTAAAGCACAAGCACGGAGCGTAAAGCGAGGTCAGGCAGCTGCGAGACTTGAAACCAGGGCTGAAGAGCCGCTCGGCGTTGCGTGTTAGGTGCATTCGTGTGAACGCTTGATGATGGGCTGCGGCGACGACGGCGAGCGGTGACGTACGGGCGAGCGGCTCGGAAGCTGACGGCAGTCACCGAGGCGCAACTGAGGGGGCGGCGGTGAACCGGCTGACGACGACGGCGATGCGGCGGGGACGACGCGACGAAGACGACGCGGCGACGACGAGCGACGACGCGGCGAGGCTGGGACGACGAGGCGACGATGGGACGACGAGGCGACGATGGGAGCGAGACGCGGCCACGACGACGCGATGACGACGCGATGACGATGCGAGACGTGGGTGCACCTGGTTGCACAGCCGCCTCCGGTACGACGCGGTGACGCAGTCTCTCCAGGTGCCTCACAGGTGCCCTCGCTGCCGAATGCCCTCGCTGCCGAGTGCCCTCGCTGCAGCCTTCCAGACACCTTCACAGTCGCTGCAGGTCCCATGTCCCTCACAATCCACAGCCCCCAACCGTTCCAGGCCCTCACAGTCGCTGCAGGTCACAGGTGCCCTCACAAGTTTCTGCAGCCCCCAGCCTCGCTGCAGGTGCCTGCCACGTGCGTGGGTGCGCCTGCCCTAGCGGGTGCCTCACGGATGCCTCGCTGCAGGCGCTGCACTCCTGACCCAGGCGGGTGAGGAGAGTGGGTGAGGACGGGCGACGACGAGGCCGGAACGAGGCGAGGATAGAGGTGAGGATAGCGGGTGATATCGCAGCGGACAACGTGGGCCGATACCGTAGGAACGAGGCGACGACGCGGCGACGAGGCGACGCCGCGGCGACGCCGGAGTGAGGACAGCGGTGAGGAATGGTGAGGATATAATGGCGACGAGGCGGCGATGACGGCGCGGGGTGAGGATAGCAGTGAGGATTCCGGTGAGGACTCGGCGATGACACGGCGGCGTGGAGACGACGACGACGGCGCGGCGGTGAGGACCGGGTAAGGATAGCGGTGAGGATACCGGCGAGGATAGATGTGAGGATATACCGGTGAGGACGACGGCGCGGCGACGAGCGACGACTTGGCGACGAGTAAGCGACGAGCCGGCGACGACGAGCCGGCGACCGCGCGGGGGATGGGGGGACGACGACGCGGCGAAGCTGCCCCCAGACCGTCGCTGCTACCCCCTGACAATCGCTGCAGGTCCATGGGTGCCCTCACAGCCCCGGCTGCCCTCGTGCCTTCACTGGATGCAAAGGCTTCATGCAGGCGCCCTCACAGACACCCTCACTGCCCACTCAAGCTCACCAGGCCCCAAGTGCCCTCTCACAGGTGCCCTCGCTGCTTTGCTGGGCGAACCACACCCTCACAGAGCCCAGGCATGCGCAGCGCTGCACCCCTCCCGCGGGTCCTATAACTCCTGACCCAAGAGGATGGGGTGAGGATAGCGGGGTAGAGGTGAGGGCGGCGCGACGACGACGCGACCACGACGCGACCACGATGCGACGCGACGACGATGCGACACGACGACGTGGACGCGGCGACGGCGCAGGCGAGTCTGCAGCCCCCCCAGGTGCCCCTCACGGTCGCTGCAGGTCTTAGGTGCACAGTCGCTGCAGCCCCCTGGTGCCCCTCACAGTCGCTGCAGCCCCAGCGGTCTCATGAGAGCCTCACAGGCCTCACTGCTACCTAACCCCAAAGGCGCAGACAACGAACACGCGGTG